GCGTTCAGGCGGGAGGCAGCACGAAGCCCAGATCCGCGGCGAGCTGCTCGGCCTCGTCCCTGGAGGTCTTCGCTATCCTCACAATTCACTCACAGACGAGGCTCCCGCTTGACACTTCCCCCAAATTCAGGCCTGAGGAGCCCAAAAGTGGCAACAGATACAGGTTGCCGATGACCCGTTCGGATTACCAACATGAAATGCGGGCTCCCGCCTGAGACTTCCTCACAATCCCACCAGCCCTCTGGGCGTAGGTGGTCTAGAACAGATCCTCTTCCACCCCTCCCTCTTCCCCCTTGGGGAGGGGTTTACCCCTCCCCCTACCCCCTCCCCTGGACCTGGACGGGGGGGGCCGCTGGTAGTTAGAGCGTCCCAGATGGCCCAAGACGGCTCCAAGAGCGCCTCAGAGAACCCAAGATGAGCTCCAAGATGGCTCAAGATAGCGCAAGATCGCTCGAGATGGCTCCTAAGATGGTTCCAAGAAGCCCAAAGACGGCCCCAAGATAACTCCAAGTGGCCAAACAGCTCCCCAAGGAGGCCCCGAAGAGGCCAAAATCGTCCCAAAACCTAAGGAAAATCAATGATTTTTGCTTTCTCGCCTTTTCGCTTCCGATGGCCATCCGAGGCCTGGAGATGGCTCCAAGATGGCCCAAGAGGGCCCCAAGAGAGCCCCAAAAGAGCCCCAAGACGGCCCCAAGAGCGCCCAAGAGCACTCCAAGAGCGTTCCAAGAGGGGTCCAAGAGGCGATTTTAGGGGCTTCCGAGGGGGGGCGCTAATTCACCCCCCCCTCTTGTTTGATCGATCTCCTCCAAGATGGCCCCAAGAAGCGCCCAGGAAGCCCCAAGAGGTCCCAAGATGGCCCCAAAATGGCCCCAAGAGGCCCCCAAGAGGCCCCCCGGAGGCCCCCAAGAGACCCCCAAGAGGCCCCAAGAGCCCCCCCAGATGCACCCAAGATGCTCCAAGAGGCCTCGGCGAGAATGCCTAATCATTGATTCTACACAGGTTTTAGCCACATGGAGGCCTCTTGGGGGGGGGCACGGATTAAGATGACTCCAAGAGCGTCTGGGAGAGCCCAAAATGACCTCCAAGATGGCTCAAGATATCCCAAGATGTCTCATAATGGCTTCCTCTGTGTGCTGCCCACTTCTCTGATCGAGGCAATTCCTCTGGGCATCGTTTCTGGATGGGCTGGTGGGGATTCGCGAAGCGACAACAATTCACTCACAGACGAGGCTCCCGCTTGATACCTCCTCCAAATTCAAGCCTGAGAACCCCAAAAGTGACGACAGAGACAGGTTGCCCATGACCCGCTCGGATTAGCAACATGAAGTGCGGGACCCATAGGGAGGGGGCTCCCGCCTGAGACTTCCTCACAATTCACTCACAGACGAGGCTCCCGCTTGATAATTCCTCCAAATTCAAGCCTCAGGAGCCCAAAAGTGACGACAGACAGGTTGCCGATGACCCGCGCGGATTACCAACATGAAGTGCGGGACCCATAGGGAGGGGGCTCCCGCCTGAGACTTCCTCGGGTGACATAAGCGAGTGACGGTGATGAGTGAGTGAGTGAGTGAGTGAGTGAGTGAGTGAGTGAGTGAGTGGAGTGGAGTGGGTGGGTGGGTGGGTGGTGGGTGGGTGGGTGGGTGGGTGGGTGGGTGAGTGATGATGATGAGAATGAGAACGATGATGATGATGATGATGATGATGATGATGATGATGATGATGATGATGATGATGATGATGATGATGATGATGACGATGATGATGATGATGATGATGATGATGATGATGATGATGATGATGATGATGATGATGATGATGATGATGATGATGATGATGATGATGATGATGATGATGATGATGATGATGAGAGGGAGAGTGAGAGAGGGGGGTGAGGAGGAGATCCTGCGCGGAGGGTGTCCAGAGAAAACAAGAACCCCACTTAGGATGTGGGGAAAAAGAGAGGAAGTCTCGAGCGGGAGCGTTGTTGTTGCTGGGGGCGGCGCCGATGATAGCAAGAGTAACGCGCCAGTCCAAGGTAAAACGGGAGGAAGTCTTGACCAGTAGCGCTGGTTTTGTTGGGACGGCGGCTGTCGGCGGCGAGCAAGAGCACCGGCCCTGAGCAAGAAAGGAGAAGGTCTCGAGCGGGAGCGTCGTTGTTGTTGGGGGGCCGGTTTGGGCGCCCCTCCAAACCGCTCGAGCGTGAGCCTCATGTTCAATGAAAATTTAGCTGGCGCCGAGGCGAGAGCGCCAAAGCGCCTGGGGGGGTCCAACAATAATTATTGTTGGGTAGTTAACTCTCAACAACAACAAAAACAACAACAACAACAACAACAACAACAACAACAACAACAACTATCATTTCAAGACTGTTCGCTCTTACTGGCACGCGTGTCTTGCATTCCGTGTACCCAAACCCTCGATACCCGCCAACTTCGTCTTCGATTGCACCCCCTTTCGGGGGGAATATTTTCCTTGTCGGCCACTGACTGAAATGCGAGGAAATTTCGAGCGGCAGCGCCGTTCCTGAGTTCGGGGTCCTCTCTGGCCAGGGGCTCTCGGAATACCTGTGGAGAAATATCAAACGGTAACCCTTGTCGCCATGTCTGGGCCTCCACCAACTTGCCTGGATTACGAGAAGGTCTCGAGCGAGAGCGCCGTTCATGAGTTCGGGGGCCTTCTTTGCGAGGGGCTCTTGAAGTGAATCGTGAGGAAGTATCGAGCAGGAGCCCTTGTCCTCGTGGCTGGGCCTCCGCCAACTGGATTGAATTGCGAGAAAGTCTCGAGCGAGAGCGCCGTTCCTGAGGTCGGGGGCATCTCTGGCCAGGGTGCCGAAGGGTAAATTGTGAGGAAGTATCGAGCGGGAGCCGTTGTTGTCGTAGCTGGGCCTCCAAGGGCACACATTTAGGCTCAAGCCAAAGCTCGAGCGGGAGCCTCGTTTCAGAGAAAATGTAGCCGGCGTCGAGGCGAGAGCGTGCGGAATCGCTTCCGGAGATCAACAAAAATCATTTTTGAGAAATGAGGAAATGAGAATTCAACAACAACAACAACAACAACAACAACAACAACAACAACAACGCAACAAGCAGAATCCTCGACACGGATTCTCACTTCAGCCACGCACCCAGTGACAATGAATGACCGGTCGGCCCCTTCACACTAATCTATTATAATCGGCATCATCATCATCAGCATCATCATCAGCATCAGCATCAGCATCAGCATCACCACCAGCATCATCACCATCCTCATCATCATCCACAACATCATCGTCATCCTCACCATTCCTCATCACATAATCATCAGCATCATCAGCAGCATCATCAGCAGCAGCATCAACATCATCAGATTCATCGTCGTGATCATCGTCATCAGCACCATCATCAACATCAGCATCATCATCATCATCATCATCATCAGCAACAGTAGAATCAGCAGCAGCAGCAACAGCATCATCATCACCATGCTCTGCCTCGTCCTCAGCATCAGGAGCAGCATCGCCATCAGCATCACCATCGCAATCACCATCATCACCACCATCAGCATCATCAGCATCATCAGCATCATCAGCAGTAGCATCATCATCATCATCAGCATCATCATTTGTCATCATCATCATCATCATCATCATCATCATCATCATCATCATCATCATCATCATCATCCTCGTCATCAGAAGCATCATCTTCATTACCATCAACATCACCATCATCATCATCAGAAGCAGCAGCATCACCATACTTAAAATCGGTATAGTCATCAATCATCATAGAAATCATCGTCCGCGTCATCCTTCTCAACATCATCATAGGAATCATCAGCAGCAGCATCATCATCGATATCAGCATCATCATCAGCATCATCATCAACATAATCGCTATCATCATCATCAGCATCATCATCAGCAGCAGCAGCATGATCATAATCATCATCATCAGCATCCTCCTCCTCATCATCGTCCGCATCATCAGCAGCAGTCGCAGCAGCAGCACCACCACCTACACCACCATCATCATCATGACCATCACCACCACCAGTCATAGCCACCTTACTTATAGATGATCATCAACATCAGCATCATCATCATCAGCAGCATCCTCATCAGCAGCATCAGCATCAGCATCATCATCAACATCAGCATCATCCACATCAGCATCAGCAACAACATCATCATCCTCACCATCATCCATCATCACATCATCATCAGCAGCAGCATCGTCAGCATCAGCATCCTCATCATCAACCTTATCAGATTCATCGTTGTGATCATCGTCATCAGAACCATCATCAATATCAGCATCATCAGCAGCAGCATAATCAGCAGCAGCGGCAACAGCATCAGCATGATCATGTTATGCCCCGTCCTCAGCATCAGGAGCAGCATCACCACCAACATCGCCATCGCAATCACCATCGTCATCATCATCATTACCATCAGCATCATCAGCATCATCAGCATCATCAGCATCATCATTATCATCATCACTTGTCATCAGCATCATCATCGTCAGCATCATCGTCAGCATCACGATCATCACAATCATCAGCAACATCATCATCATCATCATCATCATCATCATCATCATCATCATCATCATTATCATTATCATTATCATCATCATTACAATCAACATCACCATCATCATCAGCATCATCAGCAGCAGCAATATCATCATACATATAATCGACATAGTCATAAATCATCATAGAAATCATCGTCCGCGTAATCCTTCTCACCATCATCATCGGCATCATCAGCAGCATCATCATCGAGATCATCATCAGCATCATCAGCATAATCGATCCTGGGCTGATACTATAACGAGACTTGCCGCAGGCAGCTGGCCGTCGCTGGAAGAGAAGGACGGGGTCGGAGCAGCGTCAATCAATCAACCCTGAAAGTGATGCATTACTTCTCTCTCTCTCTCTCTCGCTCGCTGGCTAGATCCGCTCCCTCCCTCGCCGCCCTTCACGAAGGAGGAGGCCAGACTCTGGGGAGGCGCCATGTATGTCTCGAGCTCCTCGTCAGCCTTCGATGGCGAGGAAGAGAGAGCGGCGGAAGAACGGTAACGGATAGAGCAAGGAAAGTGGGAAAGATGACGCAAAGGATAGGAAAAAGAACGCAGAGGAGGAATGTAAGGAGAAGCACGTGGAATGAGGCAAGTGCGCCCATTACAACCGGGGGAAGAAACAGCGGAAAGGGAAGCAGGCACAAGCAATCCCACCAGCCCTTTGGGCGTGAGTGGTTTAGAGAGCCCGGTCTGTCCTCAACCCCCCTTCTTCCCCTTCGGGGAGGGGTTTACCCCTCCCCCTACCCCCTCCCCCTGGGCCTGGAGAGGGGGTCCGGCGGGTCGTCAGGGGGGTCAATTTCGACTCCTGGGAGGGCTAAAAAACGACGACCCTCACGAGGATTCTGGCCCCGACGGGGGGGCTGAGATAAGTCCCTCTCCTCTTCTGTAAAGCCAAAAACATTTATTTTACGAGTGTTTTGGCCCCATTTGGGCCTTCTGAGGGGGCAGCGCTCCTCGTCCTTCATAGCAAAATCATTGATTGTACGAAGGTTTTGGGCTCATTTTGTCCTTCTCAGGGGGCAGCTCTCATTTGCGCTTCTGAGGAGGTCGCAAGAGGCACCAAGATGGCCCCAAGAGGCCCCCAGGAGGCTCCCAAGAGGCCTCCAAGAGGCCCCCCAGAGGCCCCCAAGCGGCCCCAAGAGGCCCCCAAGAGGCCCCCAAGAGGCCCCCAAGAGGCCCCACGAGGCCCCAAGAGGCCCCCAAGAGGCCCCCAAGAGGCCCCCAAGAGGCCCCCAAGAGGCCCCACGAGGCTCCAAGAGGCCCCCAAGAGGCCCCACAAGGAGCCCGAACGACTCACACCAGGACGAGGGGCCCGAACGACTCACACCACGAAGAGCCCCAACGACTCACACCACAAGGAGGGGCCCGAACGACTCACACCAGGACGAGGCGCCCGAACGACTCACACCACGAGGAGCCCGAAGGACTCACACCACGACGCGGGCCCCGAACGACTCACACTACTACTACTACTTCTACCTCTACTATTACTACTTCTACGCATGGTGCTACGGCCACTACTACGAGAAGCCCGAACGACTCGAACCACGAGGAGCGCTTTCTCTCCCTCCTCCTCCGCCTCGTCCTTCTCCCGCTCCCACCACAAGGAGGATGTACAAGGAGGCGGGAGGAAGGAGGAACAGGGGAGATATGCGGGGGCAGGCGGAACCACGCCTGAAAAACACGACTGTCGGCATGCTTCGCTAGAGTTGCTGTTTTGAGATGGGCTGGTGGGGATACGCGAAGCGTGAAGAATTTGCTCTGCTCCCGGTCTCAGCATGAAGTCCAAGCGGACGGTGGGGGGGGGGTCTGGCACCTGGCCCGCACGTAGTCACTCTGATAGACAGGGAATTGGGAACCGTGCTGGGGCTGAGCCGGGGCTTGCAGGCACCGTGCAGCGTTGCGCAAAGGCTGTGCAGGGGCCGTGCTGCCGTATGCACGGGTGGCGCAGGGGCGTGCAGGGGCCGTCGGGCACTGCGCACGGGCTGTGCAGGAGTTGCGCGAGACTGCGCCACAGTGCGCGGGGGCTGCACATGGGATGTGCAGAATTGGGCAGGGGAGGGCAAGGAATGCGCAGAACTGCGCACGGACTGCAAAGGGGCGCGCAGGGGCTGCGCAGAACTGATCCTTGATGGGGGTCCTTCATCCCACCAGCCCTCTGGGCGTAGGAACTTTTACGGATTGCACCGTCCCTCTTCCACAGCCCCTTCTTCCCCTTTTCGGGGAGAGGTTTACCCCTCGCCCCCCTCCTTGGGGTCCTGTGCGGGGGGGCGGGGGGCGAGAAGAGCGGCCGAAACGACCCAAGACTGTTCCAAAAGGGCCCCCGATGCTCCAGCATAGCCTCCAAGATGGCACACAAGATAGCTGAACGCGTCTCGAGGTGACCGTCCACAAAATTCAAGAATGCCCCAAGACGACCCCAAGACGGCAGTCCAAGAGTCCCCTGAACCAGGGCCCCGAGACCAAACACACAAAAACAAGAATATGATTACAGCAAACAAATATATGTATACAAATATATACAGAAATACAAGCGTGCAAATGTGTAAATGTGTATAGATGCCGCCCGTCGCCGGGCGCGGCATCGCAGAATGGAGCAACATAGATTGCACCACACGGGTTGTCCGTTCGAAAAGAGGACTACGATCTCCCCACCCTCGTGATTATCAATTTGCCTTTCTGTATGGCAGAATACAGATGTTGATGTCTCCACGCTCGTGCTCCATATGAAATCTCACCGTCCCAGCCACGACGGAATCGACTCGCCCCGTCATCCCTTGCCAAATACACTATGTGCGCACACTCGTATATAACAAACATCAATGTTCAATAACCATTCTGGTACAAAACGAAACGAAATCCGCCGACCCTGTCAGCGCGTGACAAGGGCTGTTCTGTCGCCATCGCCATCGCTGCCGCCGTCGCGTCGCCGCCGCCATCACGTCTCCCCTTCCCTGTGAACGTCGCCGCTCCCCCCCCCCCTTTCCTTGGGCCCTGGTCCTCGAGCACGCCAGCCAAAGTGAAATACACCAGCCCATCCACAGGGAAATCCAGCAACGTTGCCGTTGAGCCGACGGGAAGCAAGCCCCCTTCCCTTTGATCCCTTCCCCGCGGAGGGGGGGGGTCCTTGGGGGGTCCCGGGGGGGGGTCCCGAGGGGGGGCCCCGCCTCAAAATACCACCCTCCCGGGCCCGCCCTCCCCCTCCCATTTCCGTCGAAGGACGAGGCCTCCAGGGGCGGCGGCACGGGCCGCAGGGCCTTGGCAAGACACAGGCGCGCGTCGTCGCGCGCAGCCCCCCTCTTTGAAGGGGGAGAGGGGGGGGGGGGGTTCTGCGAGCACACCCCCCCCTTTAGTGCATTCAGGGCCATCCACTGGCGCGCTTTCGCTGTCGGGGCCTATGAAGAGGGAGCTGGTAGGGAGGGTTTGTTTCGACATCGTGGATGCCTCTTGGGTTTACACCAGTCCTCCTCCTTCTACTCCTCCTCCTCCTCCTGATCTTCCCCGCCATCCACCCCCAAGTGTTCCCCGAAGGGTTTCCACAACGGTTGGAGGAACACATGGTCCGACAGCTTGGCAGAGCTCTCGCCACAACACTCGGCCACATGGCCGATTTCAAAAGGCAGGGGGCGGCGGTGATTCGCCGTAGGCGTCTTCGAGAACGGCAACGTCTCAATATGCGCTGATGATTCATATCCGCCCCTGCATGATGTCTCCAGATGCACCAAGGCAGCGCCGAGACGCACCGACGCGTCTCAAATATACCCCAGTATGATAGAGAGGGGGCCGGCGGCAGGCGGCGAAGCCCTTACAGATAAGAGGGAGGGGGTCACAACCCTCCCAGACGACCAGTTTTAGACCCTCCCCAGACCAGCCATGAAATGGCGGCCTTTTGCCCAGACCCCACTGGAATCCTCCAGACCCTCCAAAAAATCAGACCACACCCATACATCATCGAATTCGGAGTATCCCTCCCGATCGTGGCCCCTGACGTGTAAACTGCTCTCCGAACACGTGGCCTTCGGCTGGGAGCGAGCCAGCGCGGCCGAGGGCAGAGGGGTCGCTCGCAGCAAACCCGCCTCGGGCTCCTCAGCGTTGGCGCCCCCCTCCGCCACGACGGAAGCGCTCTTGACGACGACGGACACCCGGAACCAGCGCACCTCTCGGCCGGAGACGGAGGGGGTGCTGAGCAGCCCGGCCGCTCCCCTGCATCGCCTTCCCCCCCCTCGGACAGGGGTTCACCGGGAAGGAGGGTGGCCTCCGCCCCCTCTCCCCCCCCTCCCTCGGAGCGGCCCCCCGGCGGCGCACGGGGGGCCCCTCCCACGCGCCGGGACGGGCTCCACGCGCGGCGAGGTGGAGAGAGAGGGAGACTGGCCGAGCTCGGACTCCGACCCTGGGACAAGCACTCTGAAGAGCTTAGAGCACTCAGAGCTCCTCTCAGGCTTGAGGCAAGGAAGCAAGAGCTTGTCTCCCGACTTGGTGGAGGCGGAGCCCCCGCACAGTACTCTCCTCCTCCTCCTCCTCCCCCTCCTCCTCCTCCTCCTCCTCCTCCTCCTCCTCCTCCTCCTCCTGAGGGTGCCAAGCAAGTTCGGGTGGTTAGTTGGGTCGGTTCAGGCTTCCGGAGGTGCCCCGAGGCCCCCAGAGGCGCGTGGAGGCCCCTGGAGCCTCTGAGAGGCACAGGAGCGTCCCCATGGAAAGCTCCCGAAGGCCTCTGCAAAGTCCGTGGGAAGCCCCGGCCAGATTTCCTCGAGCGGCACAGCAGCTGGCCAGAGCAAACAGGGTTGCAAGTCAATGAGACTCTGGCGTACAGTCATCATGCTACCAAAAGGAACGCCAAACAAGGAACGACGGGGCTTTTCTGGCCACGGCGAGCCTCGGCCACAAAGAAGTTAACCGACCTAGATCTAAGGAACGGCCCGAAAACCAGAGTTCCTCCTTTGCCCGAAGTGGTCCTCGTTCCAGCGTCTTGACTGCACCCCGCAGACGCACGCGCATCACTCGGGAAGCGTCCTGGTAGCGTCGTAGCCGCCCACAGGACAACGCAGGGGCAAATCTCTGCCCCGCTCCGAGTCTCAGGCACTCGCCCCCTCCAAAACCGCCCCCCTGGAGCGTGGTTGTCAAAACTTCAGAGCGGATCCAGCCGTGGCGACGAGAGGTCTCCCAGAGATCCAAGGAGGGCGAAAAACGGCCAAAGCCCTCGAACCTCTATCCTCGAATCTCGATCCTCGAACCTCGCGCAGGAGAAAGAAGACAGAAAACGGAGCGGAGACCAAGTTAAGCGTTCGGCCGTGGACCTCTTGTCACCGCTGCGCCTTCGGCGGTAATCAGCGAACTTTCAATGACAATCGGCTGTCTCTCGGTAATCTTCGGTGGTCATCGCCAATCTGCGGCGACCCTTGGTGGCCTTCCTCACGAAAGCTGGATGCAAGACAGCCCAGAATCGAATCGATAAGTCGGATCGGCGATCGACATGAGTCGAATCGGCGGAAATCGGTAGCCAAGTCGGAGGAGTCGAAATGAGCCTCAATCTCACGGGATTCATGATTGAACACTTAGGCCAAGGGGAGGCGGTCGACACCCGCGCAGCCTCGGCCAGTCGAGGATCTTTGATCTGAGGTTCGAGGGTCTTCGGCTCGCGGATCGAGGCCCTGTTGGGTTCGAAACCTCGAGGCTCGAGGATCTCTGGGTCGAAGTCGCATCAGGCTCGGGGATCGAGGGCCTCGGGCTCGAGGCTTGAGGATCTCTGGCTCGAGGATCGCAGCCTCGGACGTTCTCGAGGACGGGGAGGCCCACGCCCACTCGGGGCGCGGCGCGGGGCTGCCGCCAGATCGCCCCCCCCCTCCCCAACGCGACGAAACCCCTCCGCACCCACCCAGCGCACGAGGCGGCAACGAGGCGGCAACGGGCGGCAACGGGCGGCAACGACGCGGAACCTCGCCGGACCCATCCACCTCCTCCGTTGCAGAGGTGAGAACCCCTGAGTGGAAGCACTGCATGGGAAAATCTGTGCGAGAAAAATCGGGGCCCGACAGACATCCATCGGGACCGAAGAGAGACCCCCTCCCCTCCCCAGCCCGCCGAGGGCCCAAGGGCTCGCGCAGTGGGCAGTGGGCGCCACGGCGGGCAGCAGTAAGCAAAAAGAACAGGAACCAAAACAAGTGATAGCCAGCGTGGACCCCGAATAGTAGACTATTGCACTGTGGATGTGCAGGCTATGAGGAGCAAGTTATGCGGTGTGAGCTATGTGGAACGGTATACGTGGTGCAAGCAGCACCTAACGGCAGCAACGAAGCGGCAACGGGCGGCAGCATGGCGAAACCTTGCCCGACCCACCAAGCGCACGAGGCGCCAACGAGGCGGCAACGAGGCGGCCCTGGGGGGCAACGTGGCGAAACCTCGCCAGACCCACACAGCGCACGAGGCGGCAACGAGGCGGCGACGAGGCGGCAACGAGGCGGCAACGGGCGGCAAACCTCGCCAGACCCACCTGGCGAACGAGGCAGCAACGAGGTGGCAACGGGCTGCAACGTGGCGAAACCCCGCCGGACCCACCCAGCGCACGAGGCGCCAACGAGGCGGCAACGAGGCGGCATTAGCACTACGGGGCAAAGTGGCGAAACCGCACCAGACCCACCCAGCGCACGAGGCGGCAAGGAGGCGGCAAGGAGGCGGCAAGGAGGCGGCAACGAGGCGGCAACGAGGCGGCAACGAGGCGGCAACGAGGCGGTAACGAGGCGGCAACAGACGGCAACGTGGCGAAACCTCGCCAGACCTACCAAGCGCACGAGGCGGTAACGAGGCGGCAGCGAGCGGGAACGTGGCGAAACCTCCCCAGACCCACATAGCGCACGAGGCAGCAACGAGGCAGCAACATGTGGTACGTGACGTGGCGAAACCCCGCCGGACCCACCCAGCGCACGAGGCGGCAACGAGGCGGCAACGAGGCAGCAACGAGGCGGCAACATGGTGAAAACACGTTGGACCCAACTGGCGCCCGAAGCAGAATTGAGACGGCAACGGGTGGCAACGTGGCGAAACCTCGACTGGCCCATCCCCAGGCCCCTAGAAAAATAAGAAAAAATCCTAAATGCAACGCTGTTTTTGGGGAAAGGCTGTTAGGAAAAATGTATGGTGCAAGGCTTACCTGGGCTGACCTGACATGTTGGGAGAAAAACTCAGGACTGGCAAACATTCAGCGGGACTGAAACCCCTCACCAGCTGGCCGATGGCCCAAGGGCTCGCCCGGTGGGCGACGGGCGCCACAGCGGGCATCAGCAAGGCACAGCCCTGGCGAGCGACTGATTCGGCCTGGGCTCCAAATCAACGGGCTGACCCAGAGCAAGCTGGACAGACAAAAAAATACACGAGCGAGCAACTCGGGTAAGGATACGTACTGAGAAGGAGGAGGAAGACACGGAGGAGGAGGACGACGACGAGGACGAGGACGACGACGCGAACGAAGACGACCCGCAAAAACGAAGACGAGACGACGACGACGATGACGACGACGATGACGATGACGGTGAAAAGGACGAGGACGGAACACAGGACGACGATGTCTTGCTCCGCAACGTATCGGTCTGTCAAATCGTACCCAACGCTGCCTCGGCCAGGGGCACGGCCCCCTCTGCACACGCACGAGGCCCGGTGCACAAATCAGCCTGGGCACGGGCGGGCCCACCAGCGCGAAGGGAGGCCGGTGGCAGCAGCGACACGAGGCGCGAGGCGCGAATAACTTCGCGCTCTCGCGCCGCCCCCCCAAAGGGAGAAAAGGAGGACGAGGAGGAAGGGGAGAAGGAACGAGGACCGCGAAGCGCGAAGCGCGAATAACTTCGCGCCCTCGTGGGAGCCCTTGCCGATGGCAGCAGCGACACGAGGCAGGACCACCGAGCTTCCCTCCTCCGCGGCGCGCCTTGGCGCCCTGCGCGAGCGCCATGGGCACTCCGAAGGGGTTGGCGGCGCCGACCACCTCGGGGCGGGGAAATGCACGGGAGGCGCTGCATGGCCCGAGCGCAAGCCTCGGGAGGTCCGCGCGGGCTTCTCGGGTCGGCTATGACTCTGACCACCCCTGGGAAGCACCCCATGCGCCGCCCCTGGCGTGCGCCACGATCCAGGAGAGGAGGTCCCAGCCCCGAACCCAGAAACTGACTACCTACCAGACCACCCCAACCCAACCCGAAGGCCCGAATTTCGGGTTGGGGGGGGTAAGGGTTCCATACGTGTTTTTCGACGTTCCCGGACCCCCCCCCCACTAGAAATCGAGGGTAAATCTGAGCCTTCGGGTTGGGTTGGGGTGGCTTGGTGGGTGGTGAGAAACCCTCGCGTAACCCAAAAGAAAAAACGATGGCGCTGTCCGCTGTTCTGCTCACGTCCCTGGCATCGGTATTCAGAACACTGTGCGAACAAGCAGAAAAATACCTCGGAGGGCCAGCAGAGATTGGCCCTGGTCCTTCGTCGTCCCGTTCCGAGTTCGCCGTGTCTTTCCAGTCGCACGGGCTCTGCAGCACAAGACCCTCTGCCACAAGGCGGCAACACAGCGACAGGACCTCCCGAAGCGATGCGAGAACACGTCTTCCCCCTCTTTCCCTCGTGCAGTCTACTCCTTCATGAAAGGCGCGCAAGCCCATAAAAACGGAAGCTCCACGTGTCACCGGAAAAGGGGGTGGGAATGTTCCTGGGCAGGTTTGTTCTGGCGCGCTCGCTTTGAATCCTGAGCCCGTGTACATTGGAGTGGCATGAAGCCTAGAATTTGCGTCAGGCATCAGGAGGGTCAGGAGGAAGAGTACCGCTCGGTCATTGCTGCCTCAAGCGCGTAATGCCATTGGAATGATTCGGACGCAATCACACCGCATGGCCGCTTGCGAAAATATAATTTCTAGCACCCACGTTCCTTGCCCAGTCCTGCCCTTCGTATACATCAAACGAAACTCAGTGTCAAGGACTAAGTTTAATATGTAAACCATGTGAAAATTCCCTCGCTGAACAGAACGCATAGGTCCGGCACACAAGTCCAAGAGACTTTCCCTCAATCAACCACTGGAGCATGTGATAGCATGCCGTCGCGGATCTGGGCTTCCTGGCGGCTCCTGGGAACTCCTGGGAACTCCCAGGATGTGTCGCGTGGGCCTCCGGGACGTCAGTCCCGCCCAGGAGGCCCCCCAAACAGGCCAAGAAAGTCCCAGGAGGCCACCAAAACGGTGCAAGAGATACCAGAATCGTCGAAAGATCGGTCCAAGATGACAAAGATGCCCTGCAGCCAGCCGAGGACGCGACCAAGACGCCCAAGAGGCTGGCACACATCACTGTTTTCCCTGACGTTGCTTCAACCTATTCTGGGGGTTCTAGACGCTTCGAGCTTCCGAGGCCCCAAGACGTTCCAAGAGGCCCCCAAAAGCCGCCCCAAGATGCCCCAAGACGGTCCAAGAGGCGCCGAAGACGGCCCAAGAGGGCCCCCTGCTCAGAGCGTTTTACGTCACCGCGATCTGAGGAACCGTGGTGAGAGCTTGTTACGTCACCCCTCGCTGTTGGGAGCCATGGTGTTACTTGGCGTCTCTGGGGTTTCTTGGGGGTCTTCGGGGGCCCCTATGGGTGCCCTTTGGGGCCGTTTTAGGGCCCTGGGTCGTCTTGGAGCGTCTTGAAAGCCTTTGGCCGTCTCAGGGCTCTCTTGGGGGCCTTTGGGGGCCCTCTTGGGAGCCTCTCTGGGCCCTCTTGGGACTGCCTTAGGGCCGTTTGGGGGCCCTCTGGGGACTTTTTGGTGCCCTCTTGGACCGTTGTCGGGCCATTTGGGGAGCCTCGTAGGCCGTAAGGGGGAGATCTCTATAGTTGGGCCGTTTTGGGCCGTTCTTGGCCCGAAAAGGCGAGAACCCCAAAAACTACCAAAAGCCATTGACAAATCAATGATTTGCACCTCTGTGGGCCCTCTTGGGAAGCCTCGTAGAGGCCTTTTGACGCGTCTCGGGGCTGTCTGTCTCGGGCCCGTCTTGGAGGCCTTCGGCCGTCTTGGAACCTTCCTTGGGGCCTCTTGGGGCCCTCTTGGGAACCTCTTTGGGCCCCCTTGGGGCTCTCCTGGGCACGTCTTAGTGCCTCCTTGGGCCGTCTCGCGGCCCCTGAACCGTTTCTCTTGAAAAAATAAAGGGGGCGGGCCATTGGAGCCGCCTTGGAGCTGCTTCACTCGAAAAAAAACAGAAAGGAAGCTGGCCGTGAGAACCGCCCTGGAGCCGCTTCACTCGAAACAATGCAAAGGAAGCTGGCCATTAACCTTTTCGTCCGCGCCTCGCTCCTGCCCCGGAACCCCTCCCTAAGCGGGCTTCGCCCCAACATCATCATTCGTACCTCGCTCTTTCCGTTACCTGGGCTGGCACAGGAACGGAAAGAGCGCTGCAGGATCTTGCCCGAGATGGCTCATGGCATCCTGCGCTCTTGGGAGTGTTGGGGTTCAGAGTTTGTTATGTCACCGCTCCCTATGTTGGGAACCGCGGTGTTTGGAGACTTCTGCGTCGTCGCTCGCCCTTGGGAGCCTTGCTGCGAAGAGTTGTTTACGTCACCGCGCTCTGGGGAGCCTTGGTGTTCGGAGTTTGTTACGCCACCGCTACCGATATGTGTCTAGAACAAGATACCATTGTCCTCGATCCGTGGGCAAGAAAAAATACCTGCCCAGCCGTCACTCGATGGCATCAGAATCTGATAATCCGAGGTGTACACTTCGCGCCTGTACGCCAAGCAGGCCAAAGCAGCATGTCTCAAATGCGATTTAGCAGTGCTGTGCCACCCGTTGCTTATGAGCATGACGCGGTCGTCGGTCCTGGCATATGACCAGCGGAAGGCGACTCGCCTCGCGAACGTGCCTGGTGGTCGTGCAGCGCCACAAAGAGTGGCAGGCAGTGTTCGGAATGTGGCACACCTCGAAGAGGCGCAGCGTGTTCTGTCGGAGGTGGCTGAACAAGTCGTGGCTGGGCTCCACAGCGATGCAGCAGCGCCACGCGAAGGCACGCCAGCAAAGTCTTGGTGTCGATGTCCAGGAGGTCCGTGCGAGCGTGCCGATTTGTCCGATTCTCGAACAGTCTGAAAACCCACCTCCGCCACGCCTCGCGGTGGAAGTGGTCGACCTTCGCCTTGTCGTCCGTTTCGATATCCAGAACTTCGCCGCCCACTTCGAAGGCGAATGTGGAATCTGTCAGGATGTACATCTCGCCAAGCACCCGAGCGGCGCGAGCCACGAAACGCACCCGTTGGGCGCGAGCCACGAAACGACCGGCCCACGCGCCATCGTTTTTATTCAAGTTGTTCCACGGCTCCGAGATCGAGATTCTGGTGGCTACGTCCCGGGAGGCAGCCCTCAAGGCAGACGGGATGGCTTGGCACTTACTTGACAAAGGCTCCAGGCCGTGCCTCCGATCCACGACTGCCCGGGCGGCGCCCACGTGTCGCCACGCCGCCACTCGCTTCCTGCCGAAAAAATCCGGGTCTCCACAGAGGTGCGCAGCTTAGAGTCGTCATCGTCCGCCCACGCGGCGCCCCAGCGGTGCAAAGGACATGCTCCCGTGGAGTAGGCGCCTGCGCCTGCCCGGGTCGAGGCTGGCAGCGTTGCTCCTTCTGCCTGCGCGCTGGAGCCGCTCGATGCCGCCAGCGGCGTGTCCGCTTGCTGACCCGCGGCTTCTGCGCGCTGGATTAGTCGACGGTGATGCTGGGGACATCGATGGAGGTCGGATAGCCATGGTAGGAGCCATGGTGTTACATGGCGTCTCTGGGGTTTCTTGGTGGTCTTTGGGGGGCCCTCTTGGGCCGTTTTGGGACCTTCTTGGGCCATCTTGGGGACCTTCTAGGCCGTCTTGGGGCGTCTTGGAAACCTTTGGCCGTCTTGGGGCTCTCTTCGGCGCCTCTTGGGGCCGGAGCCTCTTGGGGTCATCTTGGGGCTCTCTTGGCGCCGTCTTGGGGCCCTCTTGGGGCGCTTTGGAGCCGTCTTGGGATTTTCTTGCGCCGTCCTGGAGCCCTTTTGGGTCGTCTTGGGGCGTCTTCGAGGCCTTTGGCCGTCTTGGAGCTCTCTTGGGTGCCTATTCGGGCCCTCCTGGGAGCCTCTTGGGACCATCTTGGGGCTCTCTTGGGGCCGTCTTCGATGGGCCGTTTGGGGGCCCTCTTGGTCCGTCTTGGGGCCCTCGTCTTGGGACGATCCTTGGGGCCTCTTGGGCCATCCTGGGCCGTTCTTAGCCCGGAAAGACGAGAATCGAAAAACATAGCAAACCTAACGAAAAATAATAGGTTTGGCCTCATCAGGCACTCTCGGGGGTCCTCCTGGGGGCCTCTTGGACCTTCTTGGGGCCCTCCTGGGCAGTCTTGAGGCCATCTGAAGCCATCTTGGAACGCTCTCAGGCGGTCCTGGGCTTTCTTCGGGCGCGTTGGGCCGTCTTGGAGCCCTCTTGGACCCCTCTTGGGCCGTCTCGGGCGCTTCTTGGGACGTCTTGGGTGCCTCTTGGGCCGTTTGGGGGGGGGGGGCCTGGCCGTTGGATTCCGATAGGCCCGCCTACCCTCCTCCCCAGGACCCCTCCCTAGAAGGCTTCGCCACACCAAAACGTCATTTCTCGTACATCGCTCTTTCCGTTATCCGCCGCCCCCTGTTGATTTATCACGGGTGCCCGGCGTGCTGAGGTTCAGGAGATGTTCGGTTCTTGTCAGGACTCCCCCTGGGGCTTCGGCCCAGCACGCCAGCAACCCGGAAGGCTTGCCCAGACCCGGTTGCAGAGACTAGTCCTGCTCCAGATGGCTCCGAGATGGCCCAAGATGGCCTCCAAGACGGCCAAGATGGCCCTCGAGTTCGCCCAGCGTGGTCAAAGATGGCCTCTAAGGCGGCCCAAGAGAGTCCAAGATGCCTCCAGGTTCACCCAAGAAGCCTTCAAGACGGCCCAAGACGGCACCATAGGCCCCCAAGAGGCCCCCAAGACGGCCCAAGAGGCTTCCAAGAGGTCCTCCAGGAAGACCCGCAGAGGACAAAATCATTGATATTTCTTAGGTGGTTGAAGGAGTTTGCCCTTGCTTCCTTTCGGCAATCTGACCGCCCAAGACGGCCCAAGAGGCCTCCAACATCGCGAGCGCTCAAGAGGCCTCCAAGATGGCCCCAGGGCGGCCCAAGAGGCCCCCAAGACGGCACAGAGGGGGCCCAAGAAGGTCCAAGAGGCCTCCATGACAGCCAAGATGGCCTCTAAGAAGGTCCTGAAGCACCCCAAGAGAGCCCCAAAATGGTCCAGAGAGGCCCCGAAGACGACTCCCGACGGCATCAGATGGCCCAGGAACGCCCTAAGACGGCCCAGGAGGCCCCGAACAAGCCCCCAAAGGCCCCCAAAAGGCCGAAAGAGACCCCCAAGAGGCCTCCAAAAGTCTCCCGGGAAGCTCCGAGGAGACCCCAAAAATGCCCAAAGAGGTTCACAAGAGGTCACTCATTCGCCTCCTCCTCCTCCTCCTCCTCCATTTCCGCCTCCTCCTCCTCCTCCTCCTTCACCACCTCCTCCTCCTCCGCCGCCGCCGCCGCCGCCACCTCCTCCTCCTCCTCGTCCTCCTCCTCCTCCTCCTCCTCTGCCTCCTCCTCCTCCTTCTCCTCCTCCTCCTTCTCCTCCTCCTCCTCATCCTCCTCATCCTCCTTCTCTTCTCTATTTGTCCCTCTCCATGGCGTCTTCTGTCTCACCCGCATGTTCCCCGAAGGGTTTCCACAACGGCTGGGGGAACACATGGTCCGATTGCTTGGCAGAGCTCTGGCCACAACGTTCGGCCACATGGGCGACTCCAAAGGCAGGGGGCGGCGGTAATTCGCCCGCCGTAGGCGTCGTCGATAGCACGCCGTCGATGTCTAAGCGACGACGTATCTCTCGCCAACGGTGAAATGCGATGGATGATCAACGGCTTCGTCTTCGAGCACCGAATTACCAGGCTATAGCTAGCTATGCAGCTTACACATGCAACCTGTTGCTTCCTCCTCCCAGCCTGGGGCTATGATTGCACGCTTCGTGCATGCCACACTCGCGCTTCCTTGTCCGCGGACTCCCGAGGCCACCTCCTTGCGCCCCTCGGCGTCCATCCGGACGTGGCGGCACCAGCAGATCCTCTCGGCCGGAGAGGGCAGGGCAGCAAGACGGACGCGGCCCTCGCGACTGCGACAGCAGCACAGCCTCGATCGCCCTGCCGGCCCGACGTGCTGAAGAAACACAATCGGGCGACGCCCGCAGCCTCGCAAATGGGGGGGGGCCGAGGAAATGGCACAACGGAGAGGACCCCCAAAGATCCGATGTCATGATTTTTTCAACACGGGTCCCTCGAACTCTCGACACATTCCCCAGGACTGGTGCTTCATCCTGAGTCGTTGTTTGACGGTCCCGGAGCCCGGTGAGGGCCCCTAGAGGCTGAAAACTGCGAAAAACCTCCGTCTTGATTTTTTCAATACGTTGGCTCTCTGTGCCCCTCATACCCCAGCCACCAGGTCGCCAGTCGGCAGGGCTCACCCCCTCCTCACGATGCCTCTGCTGCTCCCCTCTCCGGCCAGCTGGCTCCACAGGCCCCCGAGACCCCCACCCCTCCCCCCTTCTCATCCTTGCTTCGCGCGGCGCTGTCTCATGGCACGCCGGGAACGTCACTGGCGGCGGTCCCCCCGAAAAAAAAACACGCCCCGGGCAAGACCCCCAACCAATCCACACGCCCACACTCATCCAGCATCTTGGAACCCCCACCCCCGTACCTTAGAACCCAGGCTCCCAGGCCATCGGGTCGCTTATCTGCATGGCTTTATGCTTGTGAACTGATCACGTCGTAGGCGCTTTCGATGTCGAACACGCCATCCAAAAATAATCGGTTGCGCGATCCATCACGCTGTATTGCTATACGCACTCCAAACATCGAGTATCGATCCAAGTCTGGCCACATGCTTTCTCATGCTAAGCAATGGCAAACGGCTTTCCGCAAGGTGGTCAGGTTAGGGCGTCGGCCACAGGAAATGTCCGCAAAAATCCCAGACACTGAAAACCAAGGACTTCGGTAGACTTGGCGTCTGCAAACATGGGGTTATCGCAACAATCCTCCCTGAACCCACAGGAAACCCAAGGTACCCCGGCAAAGCTCAAGCGGTTTCTTGTTGCGTTCCCCCACTGACTTTCTCCTCCCTTCTCCTCCTCCTCCCTCCGTCTCTAGAGGCGCCTAAAGGCCTCCTCATCCCTCTGGAGGTCTCCAGATCCCTGGGGGCACAAAACGAGCCAGCAACACGCAGAAACCTCGACCCTCGTCAGGGATAGAACTCGAGTAGAAAATCGACTATATCATTGAGCTACCCCACAAAAGGATGCTCTATTAGTCGAGTATGCTCGAAACACGTTGATTTGTCACACATCCACAAACACTAGACGCACAGATTGCCCAAAAAAGAATCAACACCTTGTAAATTCAAAAAAACAATGGGGCAAAATCAATTCACCGGCCCAACGGGCCAGAGGCGTGCTAAGATCTCCGATAACTGTATACTTAGATTCTAGCTCGCGCGCGTTGGGCCGCCCCTGGGGGTCCCTGTACAAAAATACCCCCCGGAAGCCCTGGCGAGGTCCCCGCAAGGTCCCAGCAAGGACCAAGCAGACTCGGATGAGAGACGGTTTTATGAGAGCGGTTGTAGGATAGCCTCAAGGCGGCCCAAAAGAAGCCCCAGGAGCGCTCCAAGAGGACCCTAAGAGGGCCAAAAGAAGCAACAGTCACTGATGTTCACTGTGTTTTCTATGTTTCTCGCTTTTTCGCAATATCGGGCTTGCGACGCTCCAAGATGGCCCCAGGGGCCCCCAAGACCGCCCGAAGACGGCCTGCCTATATGGCCCCAAAAAGGGCCCCAAGACGGTCACAGAGGACCCAAAAACAGCCCCACAGGCGCTCAAGATCGCCCAAGAGGGCCCCAAGACGGCCCCAAGAGGGGAAACACGAACCACCAATTCAAGCCTTCCGTCCCAAGAGGCCCACAGGAGGCCCTAAGAGGCCCCCAAGAGAGCTCATGAGGCCCCCTGGAGGCCTCACGAGGCCCCCAAGAGGCCCAATTACCCTGTGACGTACCCAACCCAGTTGTATCAATGGAAACGAGGAGTTGGCCGAAACTTGTATGGACAATCAACTTGATGTGTAAGCTACTTGGGAGGCGTCACTGTGCTGGGCCCCGCCAGCAGGCCTCGAAAGTGGCGACAGTTTCAGAGATCGCAACCCCCCAGGGATGGCGAGGTCACATTTGAATCTGCGTGTGGCATCACTGTGCTGGGCCCCCCAGCAGGCCTCGAAAGTGGCGACAGTTTCACAGATCGCAGCCCCCCAGGGATGGCGAGGCCAAACTTGAATCCGCCGTGGGTGCAGACTGTGCTGGGCCCCCCAGCAGGCCTCGAAAGTGGCGACAGTTTCACAGATCGCAGCCCCCCAGGGATGGCGAGGTCCCATTTGAGTCCGCCGTGGGTGCCCACTGTGCTGGGCCCCCCAGCAGGCCTCGAAAGTGGCGACAGTTTCACAGATCGCAGCCCCCCAGGGATGGCGAGGTCTAATTTGAGTCCGCCGTGGGTACCCACTGTGCTGGGCCCCCCAGCAGGCCTCGAAAGTGGCGACAGTTTCACAGATCGCAGCCCCCCAGGGATGGCGAGGTCACATTTGAATCCGCCGTGGTACCACTGTGCTGGGCCCCCCAGCAGGCCTCGAAAGTGGCGACAGTTTCACAGATCGCAGCCCCCCAGGGATGGCGAGGTCTAATTTGAATCCGCCGTGGGTACCCACTGTGCTGGGCCCCCCAGCAGGCCTCGAAAGTGGCCACAGTTTCACAGATCGCAGCCCCCCAGGATGGCGAGGTCCCATTTGAGTCCGCCGCGGGTGCAGACTGTGCTGGGATGGCGAGGTCCCATTTGAGGCCGTGGGTACCCACTGTGCTGGGCCCCCCAGCAGCCCTCGAAAGTGGCTTTCGCAGATCGCAGCCCCCCAGGGATGGCGAGGTCCCACCGCCGCGGGTGCAGACTGTGCTGGGCCCCCCAGCAGGCCTCGAAAGTGGCGACAGTTTCACAGATCGCAGCCCCCCAGGGATGGCGAGGTCCCATTTGAGTCCGCCGCGGGTGCAGACTGTGCTGGGCCCCCCAGCAGGCCTCGAAAGTGGCGACAGTTTCGCAGATCGCAGCCCCCCAGGGATGGCGAGGCCCATTTGAGTCCGCCGCGGGTGCAGACTTGCTTGGCCCCCCAGCAGGCCTCGAAAGTGGCTACAGACACAGATCCAGCCCCCTTGATGGCGAGGTCACATTTGATTCCGCCGCGGTTGCAAGACTGTGCTGGGCACCCCAGCTGGCCTCGAAAGTGGCGACAGTTTCACATATCCCGCAGCACCCCCAGGGATGGCGAGGTCCCATTTGAAGTCCGCCGCGGAGCAGACCTGGTCCTGGGCCCCCCAGCAGCCCTCGAAAGTGGCGACAGTTCGCAATCTGCAATCCCCCCAGTGGCATTCCTGTCGCAGGCAAACTACGACGCGGTGCAGACTGTGCTGGCAGCCTCAGAAATTGGGCGACAGATTCGCAGAACGCAGCCACTCAGGGATGGCGAGGTCCCATCTTGAATCCGCCGCGGTGCAGACTGTGCTGGGCCCCCCCAGCAGGCCTCGAAAGTGGCGACAGTTTCACAGATCGCAGCCCCCCAGGGATGGCGAGGTCCATTTGAATCCGCCGCGGCGTCACTGTGCTGGGCCCCCCAGCAGGCCTCGAACGCGGCGAAGTTTCACAGATCGCAGCACCCCCCAGGGATGGCGATGTCACATTTGAGTCCGCCGTGGCGTCACTGTGCTGGGCCCCCCAGCAGGCTTCGAAAGTGGCGACAGTTTCACAGATCGCAGCCCCCCAGGGATGGCGAGGTCTAATTTGATGAGTCCCCGTAAGACGTGGGTGACTTCACTGTGCTGGGCCCCCAGCAGCCTCGAAAGTGGCGACGTTTCACGGATCGCAGCCCCCCAGGTTGGCGAGGTCCCATTTGATCCGCCGTGGGTACCCACTGTGCTGGGCCCCCAGCAGGCCTCGAAAGTGGCGACAGTTTCACAGATCGCAGCCCCCCAGGGATGGCGAGGTCTAATTGAGTCCCCGTAAGACGTCACTGTGCTGGGCCCCCCAGCAGCCCTCGAAAGTGGCGACAGTTTCACGGATCGCAGCCCCCCAGCGATGGCGAGGTCTAATCTGAGTCCCCGTAAGACGTCACTGTGCTGGGCCCCCCAGCAGCCCTCGAAAGTGGCGACAGTTTCACAGATCGCAGCCCCCCAGGGATGGCGAGGCCTAATCTGAGTCCCCGTAAGACGTCACTGTGCTGGGCCCCCCAGCAGCCCTCGAAAGTGGCGACAGTTTCACGGATCGCAGCCCCCCAGCGATGGCGAGGTCTAATCTGAGTCCCCGTAAGACGTCACTGTGCTGGCCCCCCCAGCAGCCCTCGAAAGTGGCGACAGTTTCACAGATCGGGAGAAGGGAGGAGAGGAGGGGGACGGGAAGGAGGAGAAGGGAAGGCGCGACCGCAGTGCTCTATTCAAAACGAGTACCCAACGCAGGAGGGTTGGGAAAAAGAGATTCCAAGAGGCCCCCAAACGGCCCCCAAGAGGCCCCAAGAAGCCACAAACGCGCAGGCAAACGCCTGCGATGACAAATACAGGCTGACGGGAGCAAAGCGATTAAAATTATATAGACGACCTACGACGGATCCTCTCGCCTTGCTTTCGTAAAATCGCGGGCAGCCACGTTGCGGATGACGGCGGCCCGCGGTCGGCGGCAACGAGGATCGACCTTTCCGATCTGGAGCAAGCAGGACGGCACGAGCACGAGCACGGGCAGAAGACCGAGGCACTCTGAAGGAAGATCTTTCTGATGAAAGAACAACACACAATCAGCCCTGCAGGGAGGAGGAATAGGGAAGAGCAAGGAGATGAAGGCGCTATAGGCATGGGTGCGGGTTGTCGGACCCCGAGGGGGGCTCTCGTTCGAGCGGGGACTCCCGTCCGACAACACACACACACACACACACTCATAATTCCACCCCGAGAAATCCAGGGGTCACCCAGGTATGGGTGCTAGTAGTCAACTCGTGACCT